TGTTTCTTGTGGTGCTGCTTTAGGGAGGCATGCCATTCATTTCAGGAATATTACAGGATTTTATCCTGCTGCTGACGTGAAGAGGTGTTTAATAGTAGCTCTAGCGGCATGCTCCTTCAGAGATTCCCAACTAGGTTCAAGTCCTGTGCAACATAAGTAAGAGGAAGTTATTTCCTTCCCCCTCTTCCCCCCCACACACATTGGTGGTGGTGCTCGGTGGCAGCACATCATCACTGCCTCACATTTGTTTTCCTGAATAAATATTTCTCTCTGAATTAAATTTTGATTAGTGGTGTGGATGAGATGAAGCATGGTAGAAAGAAAGGGCTCCTTGGGTTGAAATAACTCACTGTATGTGTGTTTAGTCACGGTTTTGTGAACGTCTGGAACAGTTCGATATTGCTGAGCACACAGGTATAGTGTCTGAGATGAGGATGGAGCCCTCCATCGTAACAGAATGAGCAGATTGCATTTTCAACAATGTCTCCTTTAGCTATATTGTAAGTGAAGCAGATTTAGACCTGGTCATTACACAGATGTGAGACCTCCAAGAACCATCCAGGTGCGGTAAGAAGTTAGATCAGGGGTAGGCAACCTATGGCACACGTGCCAAAGGCGGCACGCGAGCTGATTTTCAGTGGCACTCACACTGCCCAGGTCCTTGCCACTGGTCCAGGGGGCTCTGCATTTTAATTTAATTTTAAATGAAGCTTCTTAAACATTTAAAAAACCTTATTTACTTTACATACAACAATATTTTAGTTATACATTATAGACTTATAGAAAGAGACCTTCTAAAAACGTTCAAATGTATTACTGGCATGCGAAACCTTAAATTAGAGTGAATAAATGAAGACTCGGCACATCACTCCTGAAAGGTTGCCAACCCCTGCACTAAACTCTGCTCTCTGGCACATCTGGTGTAAATCTGGAGTAATTTCCACTGAAATTGGCCCAGATTACCTGGTCCACTAAGGCTACTTTGCTGCTATGCAAAATGGTTTTAAACCAGTCAGAGATTCCAGTGGAATTCCAGTGTGAAGGAGAATCGCTGCTGGCATAGAGCTGTGCTGCCTCCCATGCAAGACACCCTTCCCACACCAGCATAAGCGGGAAAAGCAGGAGGGCTGAGGGAAAGGAGTGGGCATGAGCTCTGCATGGGGACCTTACACCAGCAGGCTAAGTTAAAGTAGGACACTTCTTGCTCTTGTGCTCGAGCTGGGAGGACTGCATCTGAGAGCCACAGCTCCCTGTATCCTCCCCTAGTCACTACATTGGCACGCAACTTGGAAAGAGTGGTTATCCAAGGCCATTGACTTCAATAGGGGTAACGCCCAATTTAAACTGGGGGAGCTGAGAACAGAATTTCGCTGGAAGTGAATTTAGTGCACTTGAAAGGTAACCAGACTGAAATCCTAAGGTTCTGAAATCTTCTCTCAATAGAAGATGTACAACATTCTCTTATCAATGCCTATTGATGAAATTCTGTATCAAAAGAACATGTGTACTCCTTGATTGCAGATGGCTTCTAGCAAAAAAGCAAGTCAAATTTGTCTCACACTGTCCCACTGTTGTGTGTTAACTCTTTCTAAGAGCAACCTCAGTGCGGCAAGAAGCTATTGTAATTTCCACGCTTATTTGATAGTCAGCCTCTCGGCAGGCACAGGTGCTGGAACTAGGGGTGCTGCTGCACCCCCTGGCTTGAAGTGGTTTCCATTATATACAAGGTTTACAGTTTGGTTAAATGGCTCCCAGCACCCTCACTATACAAATTGTTCCTGCACCCCTGCCTGCAGGGAGAGCCAAGCAATTCCAGTTCTGTTAGTGTTTTGTGACAATCATCCACTAGGAACTGGAGGAAGAGAAACTCATTTCATACAGGCCTGAACGGTCTTGTGATAGCGTGGCAGAGACTTTCACCCACTGCCAGTCTAAACAAATAAACTAACATCTGCAATTACTAATCCTCTGAGCCCTGAAATTCCCCTTCACCCCCTCCTCACCACTTCCCATCCACAAGACTCCTTTTTTTCCATAGTGTTAGGCTGCTTTAGACAGTTGGGCAGTGGTGAGTCTGCAGCTGGCATGTTCAAGAGGGCATGAAGGGAAAGGAAAAGAGAAGTGAACCTGATAAAGTGAACGTTAACAGACTGGAGGATGACTTTGCATAAAAAAGCATTGCTCCCTCAAAGCACAGTACCATGTACTATGATATATTCCTACACAAAGAGAAGTACCTTGTACACTGTGCACTTAAAAAAAAATGATGGCTATGTACCAGTCCATTGTCTGATCCGACCAGATACTTTATCAAGAGTCAGTCCCTGTTATTTTCTTTTGTCTACCTTTTGATGTGTCTTTGTTGCACTCCACACCACCTCAACTTTAGTGAAGCCAGTTATATGAGGGCAGTCATGCCAAAGAATTTTGCTGTATACAGATATTGCAAAGGGCAGCAAGGGTGGCATTCTGGCCCCTTTGGAGCCAATGGCAAAAGTCTATTGATTTCAGTGGGGCCAGGATTTCACCCCATAACAATGTTGTGATTCTCTGACATTATCAATGTGTCCAAAGGACCCACCGATCTTCTTAGCCTGTCAATGGAAGTACCACAATGCATAGTAGTTCTATTGACATCAACTTCTGTTAGAAGGCATTTATAGTGATAGCACTGTAAGATGTATAATTGTTTTAGCTCCTTCTCCCCCAAAGGCATTTTAAACTAATATAGAGGAGTGCTTTAATACGGCTATTTTATTATTTATAATTTCCATAGCATCATAGCTGAGTATAGTGCAATTTTTAAATCATGTGAAATATAATTACAAATGTAAAATCCCCAACATTATTACTTATGTAGTATATATATTTCTTGCACTACCTTCTTGGATACATTTTCATTCCTTAAGTCATATTGGCACCAGCAAAAAGAAGTTTTAAAAACATTTCTTCACTTTTGTTAACAGACATATGTGATTAGTAATATTAGCTAACAGGGCCGGCTCCAGGGTTTTTGCCGCCCCAAGCGGCGGAAAAAAAAAGAGAAAAGCCGTGATCGCAATCGGCGGCAGCTCCACCACACAGCTTTCTTCTTCAGCAGCAATTCGGCGGCAGATCCTTCCCTCCGAGAGGGACCGAGGGACCCGCCACCAAAGAGCTCGACGTGCCGCCCCTTCCCTTTGGCTGCCCCAAGCACCTGCTTGCTGAGCTGGTGCCTGGAGCCGGCCCTGTTAGCTAATATGAATGAATAAACATCTGGACCATAGTCAGTACCTGACATAGAATGTTTGGGCCCAAGGCTTTTTTCAGAATGCAGATTTTAACTATACTTATACAGATTATTAGCAAACTACAGCACTGTCTAGTATTTTCTTTCAAATGCAGCATAAAGTATAGTGAGATTTTGATTAGAATAAAAAACAAACATAAATGAGCAGTATTTGTCTATTGACTGTAAGGCGGTAATGAAAATATTCCTTGATATTGCTGAGAAAGGCCTATCATAGATTGCTACTCTGATTATAAGGTACAGGGAAAGTGCATTGTACTTTTTTGACAGTGCAGCCATAGCACAATACACCACTAAATCCATGTTCACTGATGCATATGCTTAATTTATATAGAGTAATCCCATTGCCTGGAATTGGAATATTCTGTGAGCCTGCTTCTGCAACGTTCCACCAGCTCTATAGGACCATACAGGGCAATAAAATCTAGTAAAGCACTTAAGCATATGCTTAACTTTCAATTAATCCAAATTAACTATGACATTTCTTTAACAAAATACCCTGAAATCTGCAGACTATGTCTATATCAAGCAAAACAAAATGATAGATTGCTCTTCCAAAATTCGGAGTTTATTATTCTTTTTGTGGAAATGAAAATGTAATTATAATTGCAATTCTTAGTAAGACTGGAGTGAAACAGAATTCTTGTAATAAGCTCATCCTTAACTCAGATCATATTTACACAAAAGGAAGATTTTAGCTCCCATTCGTTAAACACATAGGAAAAAAAGTGGCCTACATTTTCAATTACCCGTCTGTTATCAGTCTTATCCTGATCCACTGAAGTCAATAGTAAAATTCCCTTTGCCCTCAATGGTGCTGAATTAGGTTTCATCTTCTCTTCCTCTCATGCTTTAGATTTTGCATCCTCATAGAAGGTCGATTACTGGTTGAAGGCTGATATAACTCAAGTCCATATTATTATTAAGAAGGAAGATATCATGCCTGAGCAGATTTGGAAACAGGCCAAAACCTATTATTAGATTTTCTGGATAGGGTACTTGCAAAAGCACCTGTTACCTGAGCACCTCAATCTTTAATGTATTTATCCTCCCAACATCCTTGTGAGATAAGGAATTGCTATTATTCCTGTTTTATATATGGGGAACTGAGGCCTAGAGAGACTAATTAGCTTGACTATAGGCCACCCAGGAAGTCTGTGGTAGAACAGGGAATTGAATCCAGCTCTCCCAAATGCTGGGTTAGTACCACACCCACTGGGTCATGCTGCCTCACCTTGCCACTTTATTAATAGGCCAACTTTACATAGTATACTGAGACTAAAGTGTGCGACTACTAAGTGCTGGATTCTGCACTCACATTGCATAGTACTTACTCACATGAGTCGTTCCATTGACATCAGTAAGTAAATAAGTGCTACCTACTCAGAGTAGGGTAGTGGAACAAGGCCCTTAGATTGTACTATGAAATTCAGGAAATGCAAGATTCCCAACCTTAACTGTCACCTTTTTATTGATTATTGTTATTTTTAAGCACAGGGGCTGAATGAGATAAAAGAAAACCACAATTCCTACTCTAAAGAGTTTCCAATTTAAAGCTTGCACATTTAGGGGCCTGATTATGCATTTATACTAGTTTTTGCACAGGTGTATCCTCATTAGCTCCGGTGGAGAAATTCTTGATTTATACAGATGTGAGAGGAGAAGCAGACAGGCCCATATATTCCGACTAGGATCATACAACCCTGATTGAAATAACACTATTTAGCAAATAACTTCATACCAAGGAAATAAGCTGCATTGTGTTCTTACATTGTGTTTGTAAAACTGTAAACATGGTATACAGGATTGTAGGCTTCCATGTTAAAACTACACATTCTTTTATAACACTCTATGAACAAATACAACATTTTATGTTATTGCATATATAAGTGTTATGATTAGATGATAAAAACCCTACTGTGCAAAAGTGTCTCTGGAAACCTGGGGCCAGATCTTCAGCTGGTGTCAATCAATATGGCTCCAGTGAAGCCAAGGAAGCTGTCAGTTTGCACCAGCTGAGGCTCTGGTCCTTTAACTCTACATTTTCTGATTTTAGTGAGCACAACATTTCAATCTTAACAGTGCATCAGCATCATTTTTGCATTTAACAGAAATACACTGTGCTGAGACTTACTTTTACTTAGGTCATTTATTATAAAACAAGCTATGTACAAAGAATTAAGGGCTAGATTTTCACAGGCTTTTGGACGGATGAATTGGTGGGAGCAGGAGGCATAAGTAGTTTTCCCCTCACTTCTTAGGAGCTCCACATAAGGGCCCAGAAAGACCCCAGTCCCTATACTCAGGGAAGCACAAATACTGCCGCCCTCCGTGACTCCTTCCTGCTGTGCACCCTAAGGGCCACAAATCCTCTAAAGGAAGCAGGCAGGGGCAGGAAGAGGAAGGGCCATGGCATGTTTCTTCTGAATGCTGGAGAGCTGGGAGAGGGATTATGCCTCCCCCATTTCCTCATATGCTGGTGCAGATTTGTGCCTAAATGGTGAAATGTGGCCCTTAGATAACTATATTAAAGTAAGGCGAGCTTTTTTCCACAACCAAAAAGGAACAGGCAATGAATAAAGATTTGTAGCAGCCAGCACCAATGAATATCTGCTTATTACTATGACTAGATTCAGGAACACTCCAAAATGTGCCATTTTAAAAAGAAGATTACACTACTGAGAGTGCCAGTGGATCTCTTTGAATTTCAATCCATTTTAATTTCTCTGGTGATTCAGCCATATTAGTTCTTTTTGTGAGATCTTCTTGAATGGCTATTAAGCGAGAGTGCTTTCATTTCTTCTCCCCACCTGAAAATGATACAAAGTAAAACAGGAAACAGTAAAAATTCACATGAATTAAGAATAAGATTCATAGATTCTAGGACTGGAAGGGACCTCGAGAGGTCATCGAGTCCAGTCCCCTGCCCACATGGCAGGACCAAATACTGTCTAGACCATCCCTGATAGACATTTAT